TCTTCATATCATTACCCTAATTTAAATATGCAATGATACAAATGACGAATAAAGGGGACGAATTCATGAGACCAATGACATGGCAACTCATATTGTTAATATATTAATTTTAAAAATTTTGAATCAAGTTATTTTTACCAATTTATCTTCTATCTCCCTTCTGTTCTTTTTCCTTTCAAAATCTCCTATCTTTCTCTTCCATCTCCCCTTTTTTTGCCAAGCTCCTCCAGTGGACTCCGCCAGACTCAAGGACCAGGCTTAACCCTATCTTGGCAATCAAAATTCTATAGCCATGGTTTTAAAATTTCAAAAAGAAGAAGAATAAGAACAAGAAAAATTAAACCATAATTGTTTAGTAAAATTGTATCCTAAATGGTAGAAACTGTAAATCTATAATTATTCTTTGCAAGAGAGATGAGAGAAATAAAGACAAAGGATAAAGATTTGAAAGAGAGAATTTAGATTTGAATAAACCCAGAACAAAGAAAAAATCGTAAAAACATGGAGAGAATGCGAAAAGGAGGTGGAACACATATGGACCTTATTTTATTAATATATTGCTGATGTAGCAAGCCACCTCATATTCATCATGTGAAATCGTCCCCCTTATTTGACTTTCTTATCATTATTCAATTTAAATCCAATATAAAATGTCCCGAACTCACAAATTAGGATATTAATATTAATTAAAACATTAATATACAATAAGAAATTAATTAAATCTATGATTTGAATAGGGGTACGAGATCCACAGAAATACGTTAGGAAATTAATTCAAAATATATATATTTTTTGTATTGGCTTCTCAGTAACTAGTAACTATATTATATCTCGGTTAATCTGAAATCAAGTCACATCGAACCCTATAAGGGAGAAAGCCCTCTCAACACCTGTTTTTTCATTCACTAGACTTGAACTCGAACCTTATTTAAGAGGAATCAAGTTCTTTCAATTCGAATCAAGTTCCTTCAACTCAAACAGATATATATAATTAATATGAATAGGAGCTTGGAACTCATAGATTAATAAAAAAATATTAAGACGTTAAATTATATAAAATATATTTTTAATTAATTACTGGAAGTCATTCTTAAATAGGACTTAATATATTATTCATAAAGAAGATAAAAAGATTAAAATTAGTGATTACTACCAAAAAATTAAATTTATACGTCTAAATTTTCTTTAAATTTTCCTTCATACTGCGCCTTTCAAACTTGTTTTTATGAATTATTATATGCAAAATTAGTGATTATCATTAATATATATTTTTTGTTAAATATTAATACAAAATTTATAATTAGTAAACACCTATTCAGATTCAATACAAATTACTTACCAAAAAAATCACTGATTTCATTCCAATTAATACTAACATTTTGAGATTCAGACCACCACACTGCTCTTGTCATAAACTACAATTAATTTAATTTGATAGGAGTGCATGTTAAAAAGTTGTACTCCAATCTAATTTAATTTTCTTAATTTAATTTTTACATATAATTTGATAAGTTAATTTTATTTATATTAAATAGATGATAATTAATTTTTCTTTTTAAGTCAGTGCATACTAATCTCAACTTACATTTGAAAACTAAAATTTTTATTTAAAATTCAAAAATCCACCCTATTAAATGTTAATATTTAGATTTGAAAACTAATTATATAGTCTAATATAATCAATTTTCAAATCTAAATAGATTTTTAAATTTTAAATTGAGTTTTAATTGAATAAAACAATTTAGTTTAAGGTCAATTTATTTTGAAAGTTCAAACTGATATACAAATTTTCTTTTTTCTTTTTCTTTTTTTTTTTTTTGAGGTTAATGCGTATCAATCTTGACTCTCTAAAATAATTAGAACCCCAACCTATATTTGGAAAACTGAAATCTCAAAATTTAGAAATTTACCATACTAAATGTTAATATCTAAATTTGGAAATTAAAAATATCAACATTTAATAAAATAGATTTTTTCTTTTGATTTGAGTTTCAATTAAATAAAATGATATAAATTGGGATTCTAATTTAT